AAGTGTCATCTTGCAAGCTCGTCGTAATTTCGTCTCGGGGTCGGTTGTCAGCCAGGTTTGACCTAATTTCTCCCTCAAAGCTATGGGATCGCTTGGGGCAATTTTCTTGAGCATTGTCAAGAGCGGTCCCTTTTGCGTGCCTAGAGAGAATTCCTCCTGCTCCGGTGCTTTGATGGCTTCGATGTGTATGCCGGTGAAAATATCTGGCTGTTTGACCGCCAACTTGAGCATCGCCTTGGTTGCAGCAAAGTATCGCCCTAACTTGTAGACGTACTTCAACCATATGGGCAACGACCCATCCTCCAGCCCGAAGAGCCCTTCAAGCTGCTCGGAATACATCCATCTACCGCGCGATGCCCACTTGACATGCGGAATGAGCTGATCAGAATGACTTCCGGCATCGAGAGACGCCAGGAATGGCATCTCACGGACCCATTCTCTAAAACCCAGTTCTTCAACGTCATCCGAGGGTATCTGGTCCATCCTTTGGATAGCACGATCGATGCTATGTCTGACCTCCGGAAGGTTCATTTTCTCCACGAGTGCGCGGATTTTGTCTTGAGTAAGGACAACGACCTTTCGCAACACCACAGGCTCGAGGTCGTACGGTTTCTTTTCTAGGGTTCGTATTAGTCAGCACTTCATCAGTGACTGCCTCAATCCCGCCGTGGAATACCCCTCAGAGAAACTGCTGTGAGATCGGTAAGAATATCTTGCAGTTGGTTGAGCAGTTCCTCCGGAGCGCCCAGATTCCTGGCGAGTCGAAGGACAGTCCCGCCTGGATGGCCCTGCTCCAAACATACTGCTGAAGCAGTCTTGCCGCCTATCCTTGATGTCGAGGATACCAAAGCGAACGAGTCGAGGAACTTTCTCTGGTGCTGCTCGTGCTTCCAGAAATCATCGTGGGGATGCCTATCGAGGCTATAAGTGGTGGGCTCACCACGTACGGGGTCAATCAGATGGAGTAGTGTTGTAATAATCACGAATCGCTCGTGTGCCTTGCCAGTGAGGCTTGTCGGGATTGTCTCTGCCATGGGAAAATAGCCTCTGCCAACTCACTATATTGATCGCTGTTCGTATTGCATTCTCTTGAGAGCTTGCAGGATTGTCGATCGCGTTGAGGTTACGAGATTGTTTCAAGTGAAATAATGAGATAGCTTCTCACTTCCCCCGTCAACGCACTTGTGGGGATCTGCATTTGGCCTGGGGTTGCTGCTGGAGGCCGGGCGTCTTCTATTGGCCGGGAGAGGAGCCTCTCGCCTGACACGCCCACGCCCACGCTGCGACGTACATCGTGATAGGTTCCTGTCAATTGTCACGTGGCAAGGACAAGGACATAATAAATGGATTTGTTGAGCAACAGCGCGAAAGCCTAAATAACTGTAGCATAGATCCACTTTACCCCACTTGATGGCTAGCACGGTGAACCTCACCGACCCGAGTCGCATCCAACGATCAGGCCCAACGATCGGGCCCGAAGCTCGATCATAGAGCGGGGTTATGTCGCTAGTTGCGCTCTAGGCTTCCTTAAAAACTCATCGAAGCCCCAGCTGGTCTGCCGCTAGATCTGTACAACCACCTCCATGTGTCACATCTTCCAAGGAAAACACCACCAACTACAGATCCATTGGACACGATAAAACATGGCCTGGGCACCAGCCCCAGGGTTTCG